GGAAGGGGAAGGGGAGAGAGGAGAGGAGGACAGAGAGGAAGGAGAAGAAGAAAAAAAAAAGAGAGAGAGAGAGAGTGAGAGAGAGAGAGAGAGAAAGAAAGAGAGAGAGAGAAAGAAAAAAAGAAAAAGAAAGAAAGAAAGAAAGAAAGAAAGAAAGAGAGAAGAAAGAAAGAAAGAAAGGGGAGGGCGGGGGCAAGGTTGGGTTCATGCAGAGAACGTCTTCGCAAACAAATGTCCCTTCGTCTCTTCTCATAGTGTATCCTGTGCAGAATATCTCTCTCGATTATTTATGAAGACATTTATTAATTCATTTAGTTTGTACGACGAAGTTGAAGAGAGACAGTAATTATCAGCGTGATAATGACGTTCGCCATACTTAATTGCGGGCGGGAATGGAGAAAAAAAAACAACTCCTGATATGAACACATCTGCCCCGACGTTACATTTCCCGGCGATCGCTCCAAAAAGACCGTGGATGTGTTTATAACCCTCGCAAAGGGGGAGGGAGATCGTGTAAAAAACAAATGGCTGCGGCGTTAATTATAATGCTCGACAGAAAGAGGACGTTGGGAAAGGAGATGGAGATGGGCACTGCACATATATATGTATGTATGGGTGTGTGTGTGTTTGTGTGTGTGTGTGTGTGTGTATATATATATATATATATATATATATATATATATATATATATATATATATATATATATATATATATATATATATTTCTTTATTATATTTGTATATAGATATATGATATATATAGATTAGATAGATAGATAGATATGTGTGTGTGTGGGTGTGTGGCTGTGCTTTGGTGTGTGTGCGTGTTTATCAATATATCTCTTTATCTATCTATCTATCTATTTATCTCGGCCGACCCTGATTAATCGGGACAAGGCATATTTATAGATGTATATGTATATATATATATATATATATATATATATATATATATATATATATATATATATATATATATATATATGTATGTATGTATGTATGTATATATATATATATATTTCTCAACTCCCCTCCCACACACACTTAACAAGCCCGCCAGCACGCCCTCAGCGAGCGCAGAAGACGGGCGGCACCTGCAGAGGGCGAGTTTGCGAGAAATTGCGAGAGATGACGAGCCGTCGCTCGTTACGGCCGCCCTGAATCTCTCGGCTGACCTCCCGAGCCATTTCCCACAAGCTGCAAAGTGGTCTGGCGGGGGGGGATACGCGCGCCACTTACGCTTATGTATCCCTCCTTGCGTACTTTTGCTGTCGGGGGTGGGGGAGGGGGGGCAGGGGTAGGTCATCTCGGGCTCAGGCGTTTGGATTTGTTTGTTGTCTTTGTTTTTCTGTTTCGTTATTCTAGGAGTATTGTTTGTGTCTCTTTCTTACTTATATGGACTACATGTTTGTATGCTGGTTAATATACGCACACGGATTCAAACAGATGTACACACAGACACGAATGCCCTGGCACGTTCACATAGGGCGTACGTGCCACTTGACACACACAGACAGACACGTGCATTGGGCATACACATGCTCGTAAGCCTACATATATTTACCGTATATTGCATCGTGTGAATCCGCGATTGGTATATGTATATTTTGTCTCTGTTGATTGATTTATTTGTGTTTATTTTTATTCAAATTCCTTTGTGAGTGTTGTCAGTCAGTCCATTAGTCCAAGAATGTGTTTTATTGAAGAGTTGGTTCTTTAAGTTTCGTTTTGTATGATGTTTTAAAATTATTTTGTATACCAACGTCATTTTAGTGTCATCCTTATTACTGGATTTTTTTGTGTTATATCTGTGTCGTTCATTTGTTTGATTATCTCTTGTTATTTATTGTGTTTTCTTGTGTTTACTATATATTTCTACTTTTTATTGGTATGTCTATCTTGTATTTGTCATTTTCCCTCTCGTGTTTATCCTATTTTTCTTTCATTTACTATCGTGTTGCTCGTTTTTTTTTTGTTAATGATTTACTTTCTCTTCCAGCCTCGCATTGTCCCATATCATCCATTTCTCCTATATCAATATGTTTATATATAATGAGCGTGCATTTCTCTCCCCGAATCCGAGACTAAACAAAGCCATTTCCCCCGTTTCGCAGCGTGGTGTGGAGGCGTCAAGATATCATCGGTCTGGCCTCAGGGCGGGTCGGGCCCTACCACGCCGGTCCCGCCCGTCCACCTCCCTCTCCCTCTCACCACCACGCACAAGGATATGGAAGTGAGTACCTACCCTACGCCATCACCTTCCTCACCCGCCCATCCGCCCCTGCCCCTCACCACCACCACGCACGAGGAGACGGAAGTGAGTACTCTCCCATCCTTGCCTCTCTTCCTTCCCCCACCTCTCTGTTTTTCTTTCTCTTTTTCTTTCTCTATGTTTTTCACTCTCTCTCTTTCTCTTTCTGTTTTTCTCTTTCTTTCTCTTTCTCTTTCTGTTTCTCTATCTCTCTCTTTCTCCCTCTTTCTCTTTCTCTCTCTCTTTCTCTCTTTCTCTCTCTCTCTCCTTCTCCCCTCTCCCCCGGCCCTCTTCTTGTGTTCCTTCTCGTGTCCCCTCAATCTAGGTCTGTTTCTATTTCTATGTCTTTCTCTTTCTTTCTCTCCCTCCCTCCCTCCCTCCCTCCCTCCCTCCCTCCCTTCCTCTCCTCTGCTGTTCTCCTCTCACATCTATTTCTTATTTTTTATTCTTCTGAATTCCTGTATTTTTTTATTCCTTTCCTTTCGTCTTTTCATTTTCTTTCCTGATTGGTCTTGTTAAGTGTTTCTTTTCTTTTCAACATTTTTCTTATTTTTCATTTTCCCATAATTCCCTCTTTCCTTTTCTTTTATATTTCACCTTTATCTCCTTTCCCCTTTATTTTCCTCCCTTTCCTCCTCTTCCGTCTTCGTTGGCGTTTCTCCTCTCCTTCTCCTCCTTGGTTGCCCCATTTATCTCGTTTTATCTCCCTCCCCCTTTTGGGTTTGTTTCGGTTTCCCCCCCTTCCTTAACCCTCACCCTCCACCCCTCCCCTCCCTCGTTTTGTTTTTTTAAATGAAAATCCATGTGTTTTTGTGTGTGTGTTTGTTTGTTTTTTATTTCGGAAGATTTTCTCGAACGTATCTTTGCTTTTTTTTTCTCGCATTCTTTCACATCTTTTGATTTTAGTGCGTTTTTTAAAATTATTTTATTTGTTTATTTTCCTTTCTGTTTAACGTGTATTTGTATTCCGGATGGCTTTTGTTTTTGTCTTTTCTTTTCATCCACGTGTCCTGTCTCTTCTTCGCCTCTCCCCTCCCCCCCCTTTCACCCTTTTCTCTCCTATATCTCTCTTCCCTCCTTCCCTTCCTATGTTTTTTGCATATTTCCATCATAGTTTCTCCTGTTTCTCTCTCTCTCTCTCTCTCTCTCTCTCTCTCTCTCTCTCTCCTCTCTCTCTCTCTCTCTCTCTCTCCTCTCTCTCTCTCTCTCTCTCTCTCTCCAGTCTTCCCCTCCCCTTCCTCTTTCCCTCTCTCTCCCCTCTCTCTCTCTCTCTCTCTCTCTCTCTCTCTCTCTCCTCTCGTCTCTCTCTCTCTCTCTCTCTCTCAGTCTCTCTCCTCTCTCTCTCTCTCTCTCTCTCTCTCTCTCTCCAGTCTTCCCTCTCCCTTCCTCTTTCCCTCTCTCTCCCTCTCTCTCTCTCTCTCTCTCTCTCTCCAGTCTTCCCCTTCCTCTTTCCCTCTATTTCCCCCTCCCTCTTTCAATTCATCTTTTCACCCCTGACCTGCCCTGACCTCTCTCTCACTTTCCCCTCTCACACTACACTTGTCAAAACGAAGGGCAAAGATAACAAGGCCTCAGGTTGTTTCCCCTCGCTCCCGCTTGCTTTTTGCGTGTGTGCGTGCATGTGTGTGTGCGTGCGTGTGTGTGTGTGTGTGTGTGTGTGTGTGTGTTGTGTGTGTGTGTGTTGTGTGTGTGTGTGTGTGTGTGTGTGTGTGTGTGTGTGTGTGTGTGTGTGTGTGTTGTAAAAAGTGTGTTAGAATGTAAAAGAGAGAGAGAGAGAGAGAGGGAGAGAGAGAGGGAGGGGAAGTTGTGTGTGTGTGTGTGATATGTCGGAGTGTCCCCTCAGAGCACTCTCTCGCTTTCCCCTCAGCTCCACATTGATGATTGGGGCTATAGTTAACCTCGATAGTGATGGTCAGGACTAAGCTTTGTGGGGTTAGCGTCCGTAGGGCTGGGGTGGCGGGGGGGGGGTGCGTAAGAGGGGGAGGGGAGAGAGAAAGAGAGGGAAAGATGAAGGGGAAGAGAGTGAATGAGAGAAAGAGGGTGTAAGAGAGAGAGACAGACAGATTAGACAAAGACAAGGACGAAGAGAGAATGAAACGGAGAGATAAAGAGAGACACGGGAGAGACAGAAAGACAGACCAATGACGTCACGGGCGGGGGGTCGGAAACACCTGAATAGTAAGCAGATGTGTCACCGCGCTGCCTTATCTCGGCCGGCCTCCTAGACTTTATCTCTTATCCCTAGCGAGGCAGCGGCCGTAGGGTCGAGCGGCGGCGTATCTTATCGCGGGCCGATCGACCTTATTCCCCCGGTGGAGCAGGCATGGCGCTTTCTTGTCCACGTCGGGTGATAGCGTTTCCCGGCAGAGCGTCGAGCCCTTCGATGTCGTCATGTGGAGGGAGGGAGGGAGGGAGGGAGGGAGGGAGGTCGACCTTGATCTATGAGGTCACGCCTCCTCATGGCATGTAGGCGTACCCCTGTCTCGTTCTTGATCAGTTTTGGTCTCCAGAGGTAACCTGGTTTCGGAGGTTCCCCGGGTGCTAGGCGGAGAGGCCTCTCGACTTCCAAAGGGATCTTTCGGGGGGGTGGGGGTCTTGGAGGAGGAGATTGGGAAGGAGCCGCCGGGAGGAGCTTGTCCTTCATGCCCGCTTCTGTCCCTCCCTCCTCCCTCTTCCTCCCTCCTTCGTTATTTTGCTGTTCTCGCTTCTCACACTCTCCGATTAACACATTTTTTTCTCCATTCTCCCCTTCTTCTTTTCTCGCTATCCCTATTTCCCTTCTTCCTTAACTTATCTCCCTCTCCGTTTCTCCTGTTCTTTCTTCCCTTCTTTCCTCCTTTCCATCCCATCTCGTTGTTTATAAATTGATCTTCATTAAGATGAAAAATGGAGTAAACCGGAAGTTTCTTTTCTTCTTCTTCGTCTTCATCTTCTTCTTTTTCTTCTTTTTCTCCTTCTTCTTCGTCTTTTTCATCTTCTTTTTTTTCTTCTTCTTCTTCTTCATCTTCTTTTTCTTCTTCCTCTTCTTTTTCTTCTTCTTCTTTTTCTTCTTCTTCTTTTTCTTCTTCTTCTTCTTCTTCTTTTGCCGAGTTGCGTAAACGGCCTTGCTTGAACGTTGTCTTAGTCAGTCACGAGATTTCGTAAACAATCAACTAAAAGCTAAATATAATACAAAGATATTGATAAGGCCATAGAGAAAAGACTCCTAATCTTCCAAGTTATCGCGATTATCAGGTAAGAATGGTTTGGGAGTTTGAGCATCCCCCCTTCCCCCTCCCTCCCCCTTCCCACTCCTCCCTCTCCCTCTCTCCCTTCCCACTCCTCCTTCTCCCTCCCCCCTCCACCTTGCGTAAGATTTTTTTCTTCTTCTTCGGCGTAAGATGTTCATCGCGTTAAGGTACTCCTCTCCTCTCCCCCCTCCCTCCTTTTTCCCCCTCCTCCTCCTCCCCTCTTCCTCACCTACCACCCTTTTCCTCTTTACTTCTTACTCTCCATCTACCTCCTCCTCCTCCCTCCTTCCCTCTCGCTCCGTGCCCCTCCTCTCCTTCCCTCTCGCTCCGTGCCCCTCCTCTCCTTCCCTCTCCCTTTCTCATCTGTTCCCTCTCCCATGTACCTTCTCCCGTTACCTCTTGCCCCCCCCCTTCTCCCCTTACCTCCTGCCCCCCCCCCCTTCTCCCCTCCCCCCTCCCCCCCTGAAGGGTCAACAAGTTCATCTGAACCTTGATCAACAGAACCTCGCTTTGTGTTGCCACAGTGGCGCCGATGTTGATCTGGGGGGGGGGGAGGGGAGGAGGAGGTGGAAAGGGGAGGAGAGGGAGGAGGGGAAGGGAGAATAACGGGGAGAGAAGGGGCAGGTGTGGTCCCCGGACTCTCCCCCCCCTCCCTCCCTCCCCTCCCTTCCTAGTTCGTAAGACAATAACACCGGTGAGTTCCTGTGACGTCAAGATGTAAACAAGAGGAAGTCCGGAGGGAGAGAGAGAGAGAGAGAGAGAGAGAGAGAGAGAGAGAGAGAGAGAGAGAGAGAGAGAGAGAGAGAGAGAGAGAGAGAGAGAGAGAGAGAGAGAAAGAGAGAGAGAGAGAGAGAGAGAGTGAGTGAGTGAGTGAGTGAGTGAGTGAGAGAGAGAGAGAGAGAGAGAGAGAGAGAGAGAGAGAGAGAGAGAGAGAGTGAGTGAGTGAGTGAGTGAGAGAAATAGAGCGAGAGAGAGAAATAAAGAAAGGGGAAGAGAAAGAGAAAGAGAATGTAATAAAAGGTAGATAGATTTGCTGATGGGAGAAAACGGAAATAGAGAAGAAGAAGAAGAAGAAAAAAACAATAAAGAAACGAAGAAATGAAAAGGAAGGGTACCTGCCTGGCGGAGTGATGGGGAGGAGGAGGAGGAGGAGGAGGAGGAGGAGGAGGAGGAGGAGGGGAGTAAAGGGAGCAGGAGGGGGGGGGGGAGAAGATGAAACTGATAGTGGGCGTAATAGCGCGTTATTAGGTCAGAATCATGAGCTAGGTCAGTCAAGGTCAGATCCGTTCTTCTTTATTGAGACATTTTCCCTCGTGTTTCGGCTTACTTCGAGACGACCTGATTCGGTTAGGTTTTATTTATTTATTTATCTATTTATTTATTTATTTAGTTGTGATAATAATTGATTTCGGGAATTCGATTTTTTGCCTTTTTTTGCGTAGTTAATGATGTTCGCTGGATCTTACTTGGCGTGGTATTCGCCCCGACGCGCGCTTACCCAATGCCTCCGGGGAAATTAACTACGGTATTGATGATATATGCATTGGGGGCGATAATACCCCCCCCCCGCCCTCCTTTCCTCCCCTCTCCTCCCCTCTCTCCCCTCTCCCCTTCCCTTGCCTTCCCTCCGCTCCCTTTTCCTTCCCCACCTCCTCTCTTCCCTCTCTCCAGCTCCTCCGTTTCTCTTATTCTCTTACGTTTCTCTGCATTCGTTCTCCTCTTTCTCTTTTCCCCCTTTACGTTGCCCAGCTTCTTTCCCCTCCCCCCCCCCCTTCTCCTTCCTGATGTCCCTTTTACTGCCCATTTCCCCCCTCCCCTTTTCTCACTACTTCATTC